GAGGGGGCACGGGCGGGGTGGGGGCCACCCCCCCCCCCAGTGCACAAATTTTTGTGCACCAGGCCTCTAGTATATCTAGTATATATATAAAAGCCTAGGTGACTGTTTGATCATTTGACTGGTAGCTATGATGCACACTGACCACCAGGGGGCAGATGCTCAATGCACAGGCATGGAAACATGGAACAGACTGGTGAATCTCAGAGGGAAGTGGGGAGGGGGGAGGCCGGAAGAGATTAACCAAAGATCTTATATGCATACGAGAGGCTCAGTGCACGGATTCCTGCACTGGTGGGGTCCCTCGCCTGGCCTGAGGGGATTGGGTGAAAGTGGCAGTCTGACATCCCCAGAGGGGTCCCAGATTGTGAGAGAGCACAAGCCAGGCCAAGGGACCCCACCAGTGCATGAATCCATGCACCAGGCCTCTAGTGTTTATATAAATGAGTGAGTGTTTGTGTTGTGAGATGAACACAATTATAAAATACAAGACTTGTATGTTGTTGTGAGATGAATATAGTTATAAAATACAAGACTTATGAAGAGGAAACCCCAAGAAGATTTGATTTTCTGGAGAAAGAAGGAAGGGGTAAAATAACAGCTGTACTTTTACAGGGTATTTGAAGGTCATAAACCCATCACCTTAAACTTGGCAAAAGTTCTCAGAAAATAGAAGTGACTTTTAGTTCCACATTTGCTAATAGGAAGATGGCATCTGCTCCCAGGCTGGGCCATCTCCTGCATTCACCTTCCTGTAGCTCCTTCTCTCTCAGTCTCCTTTTTGACTTCAAGGGGTTTTGACCTGATTTAGCATGTCCACAGGCAGATCTGAGCAGTCTCTAATTAGCCAAGCAAGTGAGTGGATATCAAATCTGACAAAAACTGTGGAGAGAATGTTATATAAAAATTTTGCACTTCTGTATTAGAAAATCTAATGGATACATCATTGGTTTGAGTCATTTTAAAGCACTTTTAAAAATTCATCTGTCTTGTTTGTTAGGAAATAAGTTTTGGAGAACATATTTTTGCATGTGTTGCTTTTACAAATATGATAATTTCTTTGCATTTGTCTAAGAGCCTACAGGAAGTCTTATGAATCTTGATTATTAGGATCTGGAACATATTATTTTTTTTTAATTTTTATTGATTTGAGAGAGAGAGAGAGAGAGAGAGAGAGAAACATCGATGAGAGAGAGACATGGATCAGCGGCCTCCTGCATGTCCCCCACTGGGGATCCAGCCCGAAACCAAGGCATGTGCCCTGATGGGGAGTCAAACCAGGGACCTTTTGGTCCATGGGGTGACACTCAATCCACTGAGCCACATCAGCTGGGCTGGAACATATTTAAATGTGCTGTGATATAAAGTGCAACTCTCAAATAATCTGGGCAAGGAGGTTGTGATGGAGAAATGTTCACAAAGGAATAAAAAGATGGTTTCAGATTTTCCATTTCCCTACACTGCCCCCAGAGACTCTAGGAGTAATGAACTAGGGTGAAGTATAGATTGTTGGGGATCAGTTTCAAAGTCCTCAGACAACTTAGCCCATCCTTAGCCCTAGTTTTTGTTTGATTAGTAGGAATGGCCAAGAAAAGGCATCTAGTTGATGACAATTAGAAGTTGGGGATCATCAGGTGCATGGTCTTGAGCATCGGAATGTTACAGGAGATAAGCATTGCTAAGCATCCACTGGTATTAGATCCAAACATACACAGGCCTGTGTCACAAGACTAGACAATAGTTCCAGTGTCTGTCATACGGATCCAACACCAGAGGAACCTAAGTGTTGCTACTATTGTATTATTAATAAAGAAGGAATTTAATTCATCTCTTTGATGCCTTTTTGGGGTTTGGGTTGCAGTTCCTGGGACAATGGGTGATTCTAGGATCCTCCCATAAGTCAGACCAGCTGCAAGAAGCAAGTGGTGATATAGCATAGGGGTGGATACCAGAAGGAACATAACCAATAGCAGGGGTGACTATCAGGATTGTCTGGTTTCTGAGTGGTCACAGCCACATAAACAGGGCTCTGCCCTTGTAGATGTGTTGAGAGGACTGACACGCGTCCCCTCACCCAGGAAAGTCAGTAGCTGAACCAGCAGCAAAAGCCAGCAAGATGTCTTTCTCTTGCTTTTTTTCGCTCAATCATTCCTAGACCTTCTCTGCATCACTTTAAATAGACACAAACCTAATGATGTTTCTTTAAATGCCTAATTTACTCATGGTTATCACATCCCAGGTACTGGTAAATTCGGTCCCAAATGATTTTTGTGTAATAATCCTGGTTTTACGTAGAATTGGAGCATTGCTTCAATGTGGGCACAAAGTGGAATCTCTGAGAGACTGGCAAACATAGGCAACCACTCAGCTGTATAATATAAATAACTCCCAATGAATAATGACTCCAATGCAGTAAGTGGCTTTTTAGTGAATGGAATTGCTGCATTCTGATTCTGCCACAGCTCAGCAGCAGACTTCAAAGACTGCTTCAGAAACAAACACTGCAGAGGTTTTTAAAGTTCCTGAAATCTGATAGGTGATTCTGCAACAAAAAAATTTAATGATAAATGATGTTCAGAAAATATAGGAAAACAGGAAATACATTTATTCTAAAATAACATCCAGCTTATATATTTGAGGGCATTAATGCAGTTTGACTAAAACAGAGGTGCATTTTAAATAGCTCTAAATCAATAATCATACACAGTAAACCTTTATATACATGCTTTTCTAGTGACTGTGGAGAGAAGCTGCAAATAGTAGAGGATTTAACACTGAGGGGAAAAAAGTGTTCGCTAAGAAATTACCTATGTTCACTGACAACATAACAGCAATAATAGAAATTACGGAAGCCTACTTAGTGAAGTGGTCAGTGTGGATTTAAATTCCTCAAATAATGTTTTCCAGGACAGAGTTTTACAACTACTGTTTCCAACTAGTTTAGGCTTTGTCACAAGTGGAGTCTTTAAGTAGCAATTTAGATTTTTGATAATCATTGTTGCCTGAAAGGTAGTTTTGAATTTATGCCCCAACTTCTTTTTAGATGCTTTTATATTGAATAGTTATATGTTATCCAAATATTTTTGTTATGTAAGTGCAGATGAAAGAAAATATATTTTATACTATAGTGGAAAGAGGGGAGGTTTATATTTGAAAACGATAGATAGATAGATAGATAGATAGATAGACAGACAGACATGGATTTTTCTGGTAGTATGTTTCAATGACACCTTTAGTTCTCACACAATCAAGGACAATGTTTTTGTTAATTGTCAGATAAAATGAGAGTGAAGGATGAAGAGTCTCTTACAAAGTACGTGTAACCACTGCAGAAAAATAAATCAAACTTCTCTGTGGCGATTAAGGGGGTCACCCCAATAGCAAAAGGACTAAGGCTTTTTTTTCATACTGCATAGCCAATGTGTCTATATCAAATAGATTTTCAAAGTTATGTAATGAGCTCTACATTCAAAGCAAAGGTTCTTTGAAGAATAAAAGTACAAGAACCCTCTTCTTAGGAGCAAGCAGTATCTTTGTGAAAATTAAAAGATGGACTTTAAAATCCAACAGACTTGACTTTCATTCTTGTCTTTGCCTCTCACTTCACAGTGTAACTGAGTAACTTACTTGATCTATGCCTCAGCTTCCACATTTATAAAATTTGAAATATCCAGCACAACTTGCTGAAACAAACTGTATAAAGTAGATTTTACTGTGCCTGGCGAAGAGCAGAGGCCCGGCTTCCGTACTTCTCCCAAACAATTCCCATTTTTTTGCCTGGCTAACTCCTCATCCTCCTCACTTGACTTTAATATCACTCCTTCAGGAAAGCCTTTTCCAAGTCCCCAGACTTACTTAGAATCTTGATTACACTCTTTTATAGCACATTGCATCTCTCCTCTATGATTCTTATAATTTTAATGAATTATGTCATTATAAATATCAAAAGGACACAGACTATGTTTTTCTTATAATTCCAGTATCTAGGGAATATGTGTTCTGATTTTTGTGTATTAGATTTACAGAAAATAATTATTGAATGTGGTACTGATTAGTTCACATAAAAAAATAAGGTGACTAACATAGGTCTTGATGCTTAAATAAGTGGGATTTCAATTAACTAAATAGATAAATAGGTAAGATTTTACATCAGTGTATGAATTCAGAACTTGATGGTTTTTATGGACATTATTCTTAGAAAGTGGCCCGAGATTTAGATGGACAGAGAGGAATGTCAGTCCATTCAGAAGAGAAAATCTCAAAATTTAAATGAGAACATCATGCCTCTTTGTAGCAATAAGGAGCCTGACAAGACTAAAGCAGACAGAACATGACTAAGAGAGACTTTGAAAATAGCACAACTTACAACTCCAATTCCCCAATTTTCCTCCCTATTGCTAGCTTTGTAAACTTTTTTCTCCAATGGTTAGCAAGTGCTTGGAAGGATTGTGCACTAAATATATATTTTATGAGTGGACAGAAAGGAGAGAACTAGAGCGCATAAAGGTAAGTCCTTTCTTCTGCATTCTTTACTTCCCTTCTAACTTTTTTGTTAAACCTTTTATTCTTTAAGAAAAATCCTTTCACTCTCTTTTTTTCTTAGTTTTTGAAATTATAATCAGAGCACTTTAAGTCATGGTGAACTATAGGAAAGTATTTGCGGGACAGATAAATAAATACAAAATTTCAAATATAGAGGGGTGACCTATGGAATTTTGGCCCCCACATCTGCAAAGATGATGACTAATGTACTATGGGCCCATTCAAATATTTTTGCTAATAAATTTCTAGCGTTATGTTACATTGACTCTATTACCTTTATCTTTCAGAACTGAAGAAGTCTTCTCAGATTTTTCTTTTCTAATTTCTGCAAGAAGAATCATGAAAAGAAAATGTTACAAGGAATAATAGAGATAAAATGGTAAGTTTCTTGATGTGTTTTGCTTATTGAGGCCTAAGGAATCAAAGGGGCTCTGAGTTGATATTCAAAATACAGATATATACTGGGATAGGTTGCCCCTAGAAAATAAGCCCATGAATTATTATCACAAGGGTCAAATTATGATAAGACACAAACAAGGTACAAATAAAATGCTATGGGCTTTGGGGAAAGAAGGTAGGGTAACAAGAATAGCTAACATTGTCTATTTCCTATGTGTTATAGGAAATGTTCTCTACTGTTTTGTCATTCAACATTTACAACAACCCTGTAAGGTACGTAGGTCCTGACATTGCTCTTGCTTTTCACATAAAGGAATTAATAACTTTCCCAAGGTTGGGTAGCTCTTAAGTAGGAGACCTGGGATTTAAACTGATGTCTCTCTCAACTCAACCACAAAGGTACTGGCTCTGGTAGCTGACTGATGGGATCAGAAAGGCTTTGGCCGGTAGTACTGAGGCAGACCTTGAAAGATAGAAAGGAATTAGACCAACAGAGATGGAGTGGAAAGGAAGACACATTTTAGAAGGACAGAAGAGAGAATAAGGAGGCCTGGGCTGGGCAGTCTGTCCATTCGGCTTTGTGAGTCATTTGTAGGCAACACACTGCAGGGAAAGTGATGCTGTGTGACTTCCTAGGCCAAAAAGGCAGGAAAGGCCATGCAGCTCCCACCTGCTCCTCTAGGAACACTAGCTCCGGGGAAGCTGGTGCTGTGTCAGTACTCTAACTGACACCACCATGCGGCAAAGGATACATATAGGCAGACCAGCCAACAGCCCAAGCTGAACTCCCAGCTAAGAGCTAGCATCAACTGCCAGCCATTGAGGTGAGCCAGCCTGGCCATCCAGAAGTTGGTTGCCTTAGATGACTACAGCTCAAGCCAACATTTGACTGCAATCATGTGAGATTGTGCCTTTGGTGTTATATCTAAAAAGTCATTGCCAAACCCAAGACCACCTAGATTTTCTGTTATGTTATCTTCTAGTTTTATAGCTTTAAGTTTAAATTATGTCTACGACCCACTTTGAGTTAATTTTTTGAGAAGAATGCAGGCTCTGAGTCTAGATTATTTTATTATTATTATTATTTTTGCTTGTTGATGTCCACTTGATTTAGTAACACTTGTTGATAAGACTATTCTTTCTCCATTCAATTGCTTTTGCTCTTCTATCAAAGATACGTTGAATATATTTTGTGGCTCTATTTCTGGGCTATTTGTTCTGTCCCATCAATCTATTTATTTGTCTGTTCTTTTACCAATATAACACTGTGTTGATTGTGTTGATTGCCATAGCTTTGTAGTCTTGAAGTCCAGCAGTGTCAGTTTTCTGACTTTATTTTTCTCCTTTAATATTGTCTTGGCTATTTTGAGTCTTTTATTTTTTCATAAAAACTTAAAGTCAGTTTGTTGATATGTTTGTCGATATTCACAATATCAGTTTTCCAATATTCACTGGGATTTTTATTGTGACTGCATTGAATCTACAAATCAATTTGGGAAGAAATGACATCTTAACAATTTTGAGTCTACCTACCCAAGAACATGGAATATTTCTCAATTATTCAATTCTTTTATTTCTTTCACCAGAGTTTTATAGTTTTCCTCATGTAGATTGTATACATATTTTGTTAGGTTTATATATAAATATTTACTTCTTTTGGTGTTAATGTAAATTGTATTATAATTTTAATTTTGTTCATTCCAATTTTTCATTGCTGCCATACAGCAAAGCAATTGGCTTTTGCATATTAACCTTGTATCTTACAACCTTGCTATAAACACAGATTATTTCTAGGCTTTTTAAAAAAATATATTTTATTGATTCTTTACAGAGAGGAAGGGAGAGAGATAGAGAGTTAGAAACATCGATGAGAGAGAAACATCCACCAGCTGCCTCCTGCACATCTCCTACCGGGGATGTGCCCGCAACCCAGGTACATGCCCTTGACCGGAATCGAACCCGGGACCCTTCAGTCCGCAGGCCGACGCTCTATCTACTGAGCCAAACCGGTTTCGGCTCTAGGCTTTTCTTGATTCCTTAAGATTTTCTACATAGACAATCACATCATTTGTGAACAAAGACAAAGTTTTATTTCTTCCTTCACAATTGATATAACTTTTATTTTCTTGTGTTAACTTGTACTTCCAGTACAATGATGATTAAATGGGATTAGAGGGGATACTCTTGCCTTATTCTTTATCTTAGTAGAGAAGCTTCCAGTTTCTCTTCATTAAGTATGATGTTAGTTGTAGGTTTTATTGTAGATGTTCTTTGTCAAGTTGAGAAAGTTCCTCTCTATTCCTAGTTTGCTGAAAGATTTTATCATGAATGGATGTTGGATTTTGTCAAATGATATTCTGTATGTACTGACATAGCTTTCATAGTTTTTCTGTGTTTCTTCTTTAGCTTGTTGCTGTGATAGATTACATTAAGTATTTTTTTTTCAAGTGTTGAACCAACCTTGCATAATTATACTTAACCCCATTTGGTCATGATGTATAATTTTTTATACATTGTTTGAGTTGCTAATATTTTAGGTTTCTGTGACTTTTTTTTAGCAATGTCTCTAACAGTACGTTCAACTTTCTGATGGAAAAGTACATGTAAAAGAAATTTGAAATCTGAGACTCTCAGAAAGGTTTTGACTGGAGTAAAACGAAAGCTAATGCCCTTTCAACAAAATAGATGTAATTATTGATGCCAAGGAAGCATCAGCTGCACACAGGGCCCGCTACTTTTGGGCGAACCTCCCGGTATGAACAGGCCGTTGGCATCCCCTGTGAATGCTAAGCGGGAGCCTCAGGAGTGTCTGCAGCATGGCAGAACAGCCACGTTCAGCAAAGTGAGGGCCATTGCCACGAGGTCGACCTCCACGAAGGAGGGCAAAGACCAGCATCCCCCGGTCTTCATGAATGAGAAAGAAGACATCTTACGTTGCATTGAAACAGAAAGGGTGTTCGACTTCCCTGTCCACTATACCAACGTCTCCAACGTGAGCCACTTGGTGAGGCAGAGACTCTGGGCTGGTGGTGGAGTGGGCAGGTCACCCACCACCTCTTGGCTCTGCTGAAGGAATACTTTGCTTGTGTGTAAGGGTCATGAGGGCAAACTGAGGTGGTGACACAAAGTTAAACAAACAAACAAACAAAAAATACAACAAAACACAAAGAACATGAGGATGGAGAGAAGTATCGGCACCCAGAAAAGAAACAGGAATTTAAAACAGAAACCAGAGGTGGCAATACCGGAGGGTTTGCCTTGTGAAAGGGTGGACATCATCTCCTCATTTTTCAATGTTAATCTTCAGTCCTGTTTAAAAACAACAAGTTCCCTCTCCCCCGACCCTTTTGTTTTCTACTTTTTTCAGGGGGGCTTTCTCTTTGTTTGGGGTTTTGTTTCTTGCTGTGACTGAAACAAGAGGGTTTATTGCAGCAAAAATCAATTCACAAAACATAGTAACAATACCTTGGAGAAGAAAGATAAGAGAGAAGGAAAAAGGGAAACCCTATAGAAATCTACATATTGGTATTGGATTTAAAAAACAACAATTATGTATCTTTTTGTTGTCTCTAGCCTGATCAGATAGGAGCACAACCAGGGGAGGGAAAGTAGAGAGACACTCAGGAGCCGAAACCCCTCCCAGCCACTGGGCTGTCTTGCCACCACCATTCCTGGTCATACAAAACAGAACCCAACTAGCAGCAGGGAGATGAGGACACCACACAAGACCGTTTTATACAGTATTCTAGGTGCCTACCACACAGGAAACCTTGAAGAAAACCAGTTTCTAGAAGCTGCTGTTACCTCTTGTTTACAGTATATATATAATATATATATAATATATAATATATAATATAGATATGAGCTATATTTATAAAAGGTACTGTAAACTACTCTAAAACAAAACAAAAAAACTAAATACTGTTCTTCCTATCTTTTAAAAAGACAAACTCGATCTATTCAATAAATATTCAGTGTTTCCTTTGTGCTTGGAGCTGGAAGAACAAGATGGTTGCATGAAGTTCAGTCTTTGATGGAATGCATCCGTATCAACAGATTAAGAACAAGGATCAAGACAGATACACAAGGCTCTGGGGCCATAGCAGAAGGATTGACAAACTCTGCCTGTTGGAATGAGAAAAGACCTTACAGAAGCACTAGCATTTGTGTTGTATTCTGAAAATGGATATAAAATTTTCCATCAAAGAAGAATTGAAAAGACATCTCCAATATAAGAAACTATAAAAGCAAACCACGGAGTGTGAAGTTCATGTGGCTGGATTGCTGAATATACAAAATGGGAGAGACGCAGTGAGCCACGGCTGTCATGTCACAGTGAGATCAGTGGTGAGGGAACCTGAAGTACCCTCCTAATTTTTAAAAAATTGATTTTAAGGCTGGAAGCAGGCTTTTGTCAGACAGTGGAAAAGAGCAACTTAAGAATAGTTATACACAATCACAATGGGAGGTGGGGAGAGCAAATAAAATAAAATATCCAGAACAAACAGTGTTAGGGAAGCTAGCAGAAAAAAAAATAAAAAATTGATTTTAGAGAGAGAGGAGGAGAGAGAGTGAAACATCAATGTAAGAGAGAAACATCGATGGGTTGCCTCTTCTATGTACCCCAATGGGAAATAGAGCTAACCTTTTGGTGTAGGGGAGGACACTCTAACCAACTGAGCCGCACAGGCTAGGGCCTAAGTTTTTAAATTTATATCCTTCCAGTGACAATAGTCTTTAGACTCTAAAGGTAATTTTTCTGTCATTGTGTTAATTAAGAAAAGTTTGCTCATAAGGGAATATGATACATACTGAATTGACTGACAATACATAGAAAGTCGTTGTCCTTTTGTTTGGAAATAGTCCAAAATTGAAACCACCAGTCCCCCACAGTGGTGTTATCACATTCTCCTGTTTCCAAAAACA